TTCTGGATGATAGTTAGCATGGTGTTAGCGTGGTGTTAGCGTGTTTACCTTTTATCTCCTGAAGGCATTCTGGATGATAGTTAGCATGGTGTTAGCATGGTGTTAGCGTGTTTACCTTTTATCTCCTGAAGGCATTCTGGATGATAGTTAGCATGGTGTTAGCGTGTTTACCTTTTATCTCCTGAAGGCATTCTGGATGATAGTTAGCATGGTGTTAGCGTGGTGTTAGCGTGTTTACCTTGTATCTCCTGAAGGCGTTCTGGATGATTCTCGCCGCCTCGTACAGTTCTCTCTGCTCGCCGTCCGTCAGCGTCAGCAGGGCGAAGTCTCTCTCGATCTTCCCATTGGCCGAGGCGTTCAGGAACTCCGCCCACGCTGCGGAGGAAGGGGGGCGGAGCCTCTGCAGGGCGAGGGCGCTGAGGGGGGAGGGGGGGCACACCCGCCTGCAGAGGGAGGGGCACATATTAGGGTTTTATTGGGAATAATTACTGGATTTCTTTTAAAGGTCTCCTATCGTGCAGAATACACTTTGTGATGTCTTCTCTACATCACCGTGTGTCCCCGATGGGTCCCCGTTGTGTCCCCGGTGTGTCCCCGGTGTGTCCCCGGTGTGTCAGGAGACTCTCAAAGTGTCAGGAAATAAACCCCTCTCTCTTTGCCTCCGTACCCACATCTCTAAAAACGGGGAACAACGGAGCTGATCCAGATTTGCTGCGTCATGACCACATTACTAAAATGTGGGCTGGCTTTAAACCCACGAGCCAATCAGAAACGTTGCTGTCAGAAACAATGAGACGTGTTCTGGAAGTAATATGGTCTGTGTTTACGTTAGCATGCTAACACTCAGAGCTAACCTGTACTGGAGAGAGTGTGTGTGAAGAAGCAGGAAATAAAAAGGAAGTCACCTTGTGGTAAACCTGAGAGAGAGAGAGAGTTTGAGCTCCATCCTGTTTCAGAGAGAATCCTTGATGTGGTTTGGAACATGATGTGGAGTTTCATCACGGCAGCATTTAGCTGACTATCTGCTGGGAAATTCTGAGCAGGCATTAGCTCCGCCCCCTCTTTTTTTAAGAGGGATGTCTAAAATGCATGATCTGTTTGGTATTTTGAGCAAAACACATCATAGACATGTTTTTTATATAATTTTGATATATCTGAGAACTATAATATATGCCTAAAAAAAGCATGATAGGAGATCTTTAAAACCTGTTTCATTAATTATCACATGCTCCTTTTTAAATCAGGAAACAAGGTGATTTCCCACCTGCTGCTGACAGAACCCGCCCCCCTGTCCGCCACTCAGGACGAGTCGACCAATGAGAGCAGCCTGAGCACCGTGCTGACCCTCTGTGACCTCCTGAACCGCCAGCTGCTGCTCCTGATTGGCTGGGCCAAACAGATCCCAGGTCAGTCACCTTTCACACTGAAGAAGGTCGTTTTAATTACTTCAACACGTTAATACAGTATGTCGTGATTATCCTTTTTTGGTCTGTTTTTTTACAAAAATGTTTGACTCTAGTTCTCTTTCATATTTTTGAATGTCATTTTTTTCACTTTTTGCGACTCGTTTTTTTTCGACTCGTTATTTTTTACTTTTTTCTATTGTCTTCTTTCCCACTTTTTTCGACATGTCATCTTTTCGTCTGGGTATTTTCAACTTTTTTTTTACGTCCAGGCTCACCTGTTCTGTCTCTCAGGTTTCGCCGCGCTCTCATTGGTCGACCAGATGCTGCTGCTGCAGAGCGGTTGGATGGAGGCGCTGCTTGTGGGCGTGGCCTGGCGGTCGCAGGGGGAGGAGCTTGTGTTCGCCGAGAACCTGCGATTGGACGAGGCTCAGTGTCGAGCCGCGGGATTGGCCGATCTCTACGAGGCGCTGCGACACTTGAGCGCCAAATATCAGGCGATGAATATGAGCCCTGAGGAGGCGGTGATGCTGAAGGCCATGGCCCTCGCTAACACTGGTACACACACACACACACACACACACACACACACACACACACACACACACACACACACACACACACAATCACAACATTTTATATATGATACAAGATATAAAATGTTGTGATTGTGTGTGTGTGTGTGTGTGTGTGTGTGTGTGTGTGTGTGTGTGTGTGTGTGTGTGTGTGTGTGTACCAGTGNTCCCCTCTTCTTCATGTCTCTTCTACATCAACATGTGTCCCCTCTTCTTCATGTCTCTTCTACATCAACATGTGTCCCCTCTTCTCCATGTCTCTTCTACATCAACATGTGTCCCCTCTTCTCCATGTCTCTTCTACATCAACATGTGTCCCCTCTTCTTCATGTCTCTTCTACATCAACATGTGTCCCCTCTTCTCATGCTCTTCTCACCTTCTACATCAACATGTGTCCCCTCTTCCTCATGTCTCTTCTACATCAACATGTGTCCCCTTTTCTTCATGTCTCTTTCAAGCTGCATAGATAAATCTGCTATATGCATCTCTCTCTATATATTAAATTATATTATTATTATATTAATAAACAGCTTCCACAGATTCCAGTTTTTCAAATAGTCCAATTTACTGACGTTTTACTTTGAGTGTGTAGATTAGATTAGATTACTTTATTGTCATTACAAAAATGCAAACACAGTGTAACGAAATTAAGGAGGGTCTAACCAGAGTGCAAAACAGTCAGTTATACACAATTATCAGAAGTATGTACAAAATAAATGATACGGAAAATAAAGGTAAATAGATGGGAAATGTATAAATAATAATAAATACACAGATAATAATAAATACACTGAATACAGAATTGCGCTTCAGCACAGCACACAACAACAACTAGGCAGTCTGGGACAGCGTGGGGTTCATTGTCAGTCTGACTGCTGAGGGGAAGAAGCTGTGCGTATTCCTGTTGGTTCTACCCGGGGGGCTGCGGTCGCGTGTCCCAGAGCGGGTGCCACGTAGGGGGATAAACAGTGTATGGTTGGGGTGGGAAGAGTCTCTGATGATGTTTCGTGCCCTTCGCAGGCACCGCTTTTCATAGACTGTACTGATGGTAGACTAAACAATAAGTAGTTTAAAGGTTTTGACTTTCCTTTAAGTTATTGTTTATAGTTATGTTTAATATATTTGAGGTCAATGTGTTTTATAACATTTTGTAGTAGTGTTTCAGGACCTGCGTTTCAAAAAAAGAGTCTGTGTTAACCACAGGTCACTAGACGGTCAAGTGGGAAACCAAAGAAAGGTCAAGGTCAGCCTGTGGGTGTTTATATATACACACACACACACACACACACACACACACACACACACACACACACACACACACACACACACTTGCATCCTCCTCTATTGTGTGAAATATTGATATTCGGACATTTAATGGACTGAGAAAAAAAGTCTAAGACACATCAGGCTGAAATACATGAATTAACACACACACACACACACACGCACACGCACACACGCACACACACACACACACACACACACACACACACACACACACACACACACACACACACACACACACACACACACACACACACAGCTAACAGTTTATAGATCCAGAACTGAGTCTATCAATAAACGTTATTGACCCGAGGCTCAGACAGTGGGAGACTGACCAGACTTCAGCTGGAAGTGTCCCAGCATGCACTGCTTCAACAGGAGTGTGCAATGCAGTGATATTGATCAGCTGTTAAAACACAGCATCAACAACAACTCTATATAAAAAGGGTTTCCTATTTTGAGCTAAATCCTTCCATTGTTGTCCAAAATAAATCACTAGAGCATCAAATGAGGATTGATCCGCCGCTGAAAATAGTCCCGTACAAATGCAATGTTTCCTCCTTTTGTTTTAATAAATCTAAACTGAGCAGCCAGTGCTTTAAGGAGAACATTGGATATATATTTAATGTAAAGATAATGTACTCTTTTAATTAAACTACAGACTGATTTTAGGTATGTAATGATGTTTGTCTTTAAACCAGAACGTTTTGTAAAGAATTGTCAGATTACGGGCGACAAACAATGATTCATTTATATGACAAAATGATAAAATATGACGTTTTGTTACGCTTTTAATATGGAAATCCTCATGAGTAAAATCACAAGGCAACAAATGCAAACTTTCATATCAATGCAGTAATAATACAGTATTTCGCTCTGACGTGTAGCACTGTAGCGGGTAGTGTGACATGGTAAAAATACACATGTAAAGTACCTCATGCACTTAAATACACAAAAGAAACAAAAACAAAATCATAATTGACCAAGTAATTAAATTAACTAGAAGGGGCACTTGGAGTGTACAGACCCCGGATATCGCATTGTTAACGAAACTTTTAATGCATGTATTAGATCAAAAGTTTTTTTTTATATTACGTTTCATATCAATTGGGCTCGTAGTATTTCCGTAATCCTGCCAACAAAGAACCAATATTTAAACCGTTTACACCAGAATTAGAAAATACCAAATGTCACTCCCCCCAAAAGCTATTGGGGCTAATCAGGGGCGCCGTAAGGGGGAGAAAAGTTAGGACGATTCTAAGGGCCCGTGACTGACAGGGGCCCAAACTATTTTAGAACACACACATTTAAGTAACCGATGTGATTATCTTTTCATGGGGCCCAAAATCCCTGGCGGCGCCCCTGGGGCTAATCAATACTGCGCTGCTTCAGCTCCCAGCCTCTGATCAATATCAGAAACACTCCTCTGGATCAATACGCTCAGACCCCCTCCCCCCAAAACTTCTCCTCTCTAATTTTAAATCAATATCAGTATTCATGTGTCTGTGTCAGGGTCAGGGGCACCGGGGGAGGGATGGCACGGATCACACCAGAAAGACTGAGAAAAAGGTTAGAAAAGTGTCAAAATAACTATAATTTCACAGGAAGACTAGAGCTAGAGGAATGAGAGAATCTGGTGTGGGGTATTTCCAAATATCTGGAACAAACTCCCAGAAACCTGCCGGTCCGCTGAGACTCTCTGACTACTTCTAAATCCAGGCTGAAGACTTTTCTTTTTGCCGCTGCTTTTAATTGAACTATTCACATCTCACACCGAACCGTAACTGTCATTCATGTTTTATTATCTTTGCTTTTTAATGTTTCTAATGTGTTTTTTATGCTCTTAATGTCATTCATTTTTGTAAAGCACTTTGAATTGCCTTGTGTTGAAAAGTGCTGTATGAGGCCCCGTCCACACGGAGACGATATCAGTTGTATCCGCTAAAGNTATCCTCACTTCTTGGTTTTTCTTTCATGAGGTCTTTTGAACCAATCTTAGTCTGGCCCCTTGCCTGAGACCAATTTGCCATGCGAGAACCTACCAGGAACACAAGGTTCCAGACAACACAGCCCCCAGGTTCATCAGGGCACACAAACCTCTCTACCACTGTAAGGTGCTGGTTCTTCAGATAGGCAAAAGCAATATCACAATTTGGAAAAAACTGCTTATAAATTCATTTCAATGGAAAAATTATCTGCCGGCATAAAAAAAAAAAAAAAAGATATTGATGCAATCTGGAACACATTCATTGATACATTTAATTAATAATCCTCAATCTGATTTCAGCCACCGCCCCTTTCTACTTCTTCAAGGTCATGCTACTATTTAAATGCCCCCCCCTTCCTAGGATATTATGACTATTATATTGTTACTCATTTAATTTAATTATAATTTTGTCATTTATTACTCTCTTTTTGTCTAATCCCTCGGGCACACACACACACACACACACACACACACACACACACACACACACACACACACACACACACACACACACACATTTTTTTTCTCTCCATATATATTTTGTTATTTGTCTTGTATTCTTGTAAATGTCCCTATTGTGTTCTGTGTATATGTGACACTGCAGGTGTATGCACTGGTCTTGTAACTCCTATATCACTAAATAAAAATAAATAAATTAAAAAAAGCATGAGGTAGGCAAATCAGAAAACATTAATATTTGATGTTCCCTTATTTGGTTACTTTCTGAAAGCAAAGACCAACTTCAATGTGTTTGTGGTTCGAAGCCTGAAATAAGGTTTGTGGTAACAGAGATCTTTTAACGTTTTGTTCTACGTACCACACTGGTGATTGCACTGTAGGATATAGCTTCTTTATGTCATAAAAACAGCGGTTGCTAACAAGTGACTAAATAAACCTCAACATGTCATTACGCCTAGGTGAGTTTGCCTTTAGCTCAAATGGGACCTATCATGCAAAATTCACTTTTTTATGTATTTTATACGTAAATATGTGTCCCCAGTGTGTCAGGGAACTCACAAAGTGCTCTTTTCCTCCGTACCCAAATATCTAGAAACGGGGATACATCGGGGCTGATCCAGGTGTGCGTCCGATATGACGTAATATCTTAAATGTGGACCCACGGCCCTATCAGAAGCGTCGCTATCAGAAACAATGCACAACGTGTTTTGGAAGAAATATTGTCTGTGTTTACATTAGCAAGCATCGCTAACACTTTACTGGAGAGAGTATGTGTAAAAAAGCAGGAAATAACAAAAGGAACTCACCTTGTGGTAAACCCGCAAGAGAAAAAGCATTTGAGCTCCATACTGTTTCAGAAATAATCCTTGGTTTGGAACATGATGGGGTTTAATCACGGCACCATTTAGCTGCATCTCAGGTAGAATTCTGAGCAGGCATTAGCTCCCCCTCCTCTTTTTTTTTTTCAAGCTAAGGACCCCGAACCTACAGTTCTCTAACAGGGCTGAAAGAGAGGATATGAGGGATGTCTAAAATGCATGATCTGTGTTTGGTATTTTGAGCAAAACACATCATAGACATGTTTTTTATATACTTTTTATATATCTGAGTCCCATAATATATGCCTAAAAATAGCATAATGGGAGACCTTTAATTTGGTTAGAATTTGCATACACACTTGATGAAAAGAAAACTGGAAGGGCCTAACAGTGACTTGCCAGTTAGATTAATTCTAAACATGCGGTGTGTCTTCATAAGCACATACCGCAGAGCTAAACCTCCTCTCATTGTTGGCATAAACATTCACTTGAATGTTAGAAAAAACACATACCATGTCCTGGATCAAATGTCGCACTTGTTCAGTGAGTCAATATTAAACAGCTGTGTCTCAAAATAAAATGTCAACATCCCTTTTAAAATTCTCAGTGCTCTAAAGGATGTTTTATTACCATGTGAGTTGTGAATAATAATTGGTTTGCTCTGGTGTTGCAGTGATAATAGGTACTTCTGGGTTGGCCTGAACAGGAGGAACCCGAATGATCGCTCCTGGCAGTGGAGCGACGGCAAGCCTGTGAGTGTAAACTTCTTCTTTTTTTTTGAGTTGTTCGCATTCCAGTCTGTTTCTTTTTTGTATCGTCCTGTCAGATCAGTTTGTGTCAATATATTTAGCCTGCCTAAAACTTTTAATAGAATATTATTATATGATATATTTACAATATTATAGGTATGTCAAACAAATACATTCTGTGCTGGATTAAACAAACTTTCAAAAGTCATAGTGTATAATGTTGGAGCTAAAACTTCTCAAAATGTACATTTATATTCATTGCACTGTATAAATGTTTTCACAACAGGTATCTATGGATGTTTTACAACGAGATTTCCATGAGGATGATGCATACAGTCGGGACTGCACTGCATTCAAGGTGGGCTGCAAAGATGTTTACTGGTAAAAGCAGACTTTCAAGGGGACGTATTATGAAAAACATATTTTCACTTCTCCACCCACGGCTTATGTTTTTCTTATCTTATCTTTTTGCATGTGTTTTGTTATGGTATAGTAATATCTGGTTTTACAGCTAATCTGTGACTCAAGCTGTTTGTATGAGTCTTAAGAGGGCCTACAATTGAAAAATGCCTCTCTTGACTCAGTAATTTCATGCCCAACATGTTGTCTTAATCCCCCAAAAGACAGTGAGTTAAACAGTGTTTCTTGTTCATTTGACCCTTCTGATTAACACAGAAAGTAGCTGTTTCTTATCTCACTGCTCAGAATCTGGCCTTTTAGGTTGTCTCAGTTAGTGATTGTGTTGTCAGAAGGAAAGACACTCTCTTCTCAAACTATCACTGAAGTCCACGAAAAAACAAGATGTGCCATGTCACAGATATGAAACTGCTTTTGTTGTATATTTCCTTCTTGATAATATGTGTTCAAACAATCTGTGTGTTCGTCAGACATCGAGGAGCAGCTTGAAGCACCTCATTGTGTTCCTGATGCACGATTTATCCCCCATACCCTTCTTTGCCACGCCGTTTCACTGTGACGCCAGGCTGGAGTGGGTCTGCCAAATCCCCCGCGGTAAGAATACACATATAATAAGCACCTCAGTGTGCACAAAGCAAAGGCTGTTGTTTGTGAAGGCACCTCTCATCAAGGCTGCTTAACAAGAGGGATGTGTAATGTAACTAGAATTCTGTGATCCAAACTGTATTTGACTTATTTATACAGGTTTCTAAATCACAATAACAAAGTTAAGAAAGCGATTTCTCCACATGGGATCGAAGAACTCAACATGATTTCCTGATTTGTGGGTTTACGGTTACATTCTTCCTCTAACTCAGTCTTTGTTAATGCTTGGACAGGAAAGACACCAAAGACCCCGAGCTGGTACAATCCAGGTAAGGACCAAATCTTTATAGATTATGTGTTGAGAGTATGAAATCATATCATCCTTGCATTTCTGTGTGTATGATGATGTTTATTGTCACGGTCTAAGATATGTCCTTGTTTTGAGGCATGTCTTTTGTGCTTTTCAGACGGACACCATGAGACATCTATCTTCATAGATGGAGCAGAGTTTTGGTTTGTAAAGGAGCCTAAGCTAACTTTTGACGAGGCACAGCTCTTTTGCAATGGCAATGGCAGTAACCTGGCTATGCCAAGCAGCTCATCTGCTGTTGGAAAGATCCGGAAGCACATAAGCGAAGTAAGTTTTCAAACGTTTTCTCATTTCTAACTGTGGCTTTTGTACTGATACTATGACAACTGTCAGGCACTAACCCTAAACCTAATCAACTGCAGACACCTAGCATAAGCTAACCCTAAAACTGTGGTTTAAGTGGTCTCCAGGGCCCAGGAGTTCAAAACTTTTAGTCTCAATCAGATCCGATCCGATTTTGAAATCCCAAATCGGACAGATTTTGTCCCTGTAGTTCAAAGCAATTCAGGATAGGATCACCCTGATCCAGATTACGACTTTTCGAGATTACTAGATCCTGAATATCAGTGCTTTAATCCTACCGATCGCCATCTAGTGGATATGAAAGATAATACAAGGAAGACAGGAGACCACATTGCAGAGACATCTATAATGTCTACCGGTAATTATATTTTTAATTTTGAAAGCTGATGACAGATGATGGACTTTTTTTTTGTTGAAGATATGTTTACTTTAATCTAAATTGCATTTGTACTTTTATGACCATAAACATTTATGTCATCAACATTTGGTTGAAAACAAAATAGGCCACCACAAACGTGACCAAAAATGGAAAAATAAAATGTATTTCCCATGAAGGCTAAAAGTGGTGTATTATTTCAGTCAACAAACTTTGCCATCTGTACATTGTACTGTACATTTTGCTCTGGTAATCCACTGGAAATCCACCCCTCTGCTGGGATCAGGATAATCCAGTTTTTTGGGATCAAATTGATCCCAATCCTGTGTTGTCGGTTTGAACTACCCATTTTGAAGATTTGATCCAGATTAAAGCTTGGATTGGATTTCCTGATCTGGTCGGATATCAAAGTGATCCTAATCCTGTTTTTTTGGTTTTGAACTACCCAATATCCAAATCTGATCCGATCAGATAGGGATTCAAAGTTTTGAACTCCTGGGCCCTGGTGATGTTTTGATATTTATTGTATAGTTACAATAATTTACCCTCTTCTTCTGCCTCCTAACTAACCTCTTAAAAAAATACTAATTTCTTAAAAGCGTTGTTAAATTAATTTCACATCTCGGCCTCAGCTGAACATTTTGACGTTTTTATTCTGTCTTTTGTGAGTCCTCCATCTAAATGGAAGTGAAATACTAAATCACTGGAGGGCTCCCAAATACGTTTTTGACACATACTTGAACTTTGGACAAGCAGCAAAATATTTGTTGAATACCATATTTTATATTGATGACATTATTTACTTTTAGTGAAAAAGGGTTGCTAGTAAAGCTTGTGTGTTTTCAACAGTTGTCAAGTTCTACAAAAGAAAGCTGGTGGGTCGATTTGGAAGACCCTGAATGGATACTGTCGTAAGCCAGCATAGTCACACTATCATACAGTAATCTGTTATTGTACAAGCACAATAAAAAGAGAATATCTGCACATATCACTGTGTGAATGTGATGAAATGTCATGTTGATGCTAACTGATACTCTGTCTGTTTCTAGGCAACCCTTTCACTTTTATCATAAAGCTTTCCTGGGCAGATGCTCCTACATGAGTTCTGAATCCTTATTTCGAAGTGAGTCATCATCATAGTGTTTCTAGACAGCTGTGGACGATAAGTTATATTTTATTATTTATTTACTATATTGTAATGTAAGAAAGCTAATTCTAACTCACTCAAACTTCCATCAGTTAAAATAATCTTACATATTGGTCACAGCTACTTTTGCCTTAGTTTTATAATACTGCTTATCAGACATTTCGGCAGTCATTGTTTGGTTTTAGAATCACACAGCTTTGGGAGTCAAGGATATGCTTTAAACATAAGAGTAGGCAAATGTACAAATTCTTTGTTTTCTTGACCAGTATGAAACTTTAAACTTTAATAAGAACTTGATTGAGTCAACATAAAACCAGAAACAAAGTTCCCAGCAGTTCTAATCCCTAAAATAACATAACCAGAAATCCTATTCTCCCCAATTACTTTCTTACCATGACAGAAAGGTTTCCTATGTGAAAACATAAATGAAAGTTCTATATTTCATGTTCTTAAGAAATTCCTAATATTTGAAAACACATTTTTTAGGGCCATTAAAGTTGGATTTATTTTGACTGCTCTTTTGTTAGGAGTAACATGTAAAAACAAGGCATTGGTAGATTACTGGGATAACAACTATGACATGAGAAATTACTAAATAATTAAATATTTCTGGAATTGTATCATTATCAGTATCATTAAGTACGGTAAAACTAACACGATTGTATCTGAATGGAATCCTTCAGAGAGCTCTGATGCACATACGTTGTTTGATTGATAACTGACATTCCCACAGACTCTTTTACTAACGTACACATTGACTGTCCTGTTTACCTGCAGGCCGCGAGCTCAGCTGCAGTCAGCGGTTTTCTTTTGTGTGCGAGAGACAGAACATCACGTCAGTGGAGATAAACCCTCTCTTGCCTCGGCCTGAAGGACAGCCCTGCGGAAATCAATCTCAGCTTTTCAGAAATAAGGTCTGATCCTTCAACACATTTGATATCTACATTTTAGTAAGTGCATGACGTTAAAAAACTAAAAAGCTAACGAGATTAGAGCTAGGAGAATTTATTTCAAACTAAAATTAGCCTGGACACTCTTTCAACATAGACTGATAATTGTGAGTTTACATTTAAAAAAGGCTTAAAACAGACAATTTTTATAGTGTGAGAGGTGTCAAATCATGTGCTGTTAAATAGAAGTTTCAATATCTAATATTTAACACTCCACACATTTGTCACTCGGGTTGTTTGCAAATTAAGAATAATATCTTAGCAAAATGGATCTACATTAAAACAAAAATGTGCTTGGCATCTGCCTGCCCTATATCTCTTTGTTAATTCTATTCAACCTCCATTTAAGTCTCTTGAGATACATTATCTCTGTGACAAGTAAAAACAGGGTCATTGAATAGCATGTTGTCCAATAACAAAGTCATATTAATCTAATAATGTCTTGTAGTGCTACACTGTGATGTCAAGCTTGAAGCCTGTGTCGTTCGGATATGCCAATGAGGAATGCCAGTCGGTGAAGGGAACCCTGGTGACTATATCAGATCAGGTGGAGCAAGGTGAGGAGCTTTCAGTTGTGCTTCTGTTTAATCGCCAAGACAACCATACATGCCTGTCAGATGATGATTATTACCGTGATTCTTATTTGTGGTTAAGGTCAAAGCTTGTTGTATAAGAAATGTAGCCAAAATGCATCGTGTACTGAACACAAGGCATTGTTGTACTAAATGTGTTCCTTTTAGACTTCATCACCACCCTTTTGCCAAGTTTGAGAAACATCGAGAAGACATGGATTGGTCTGAAAATCAAACATGACGACCCAGAGTGGGCGGACCAGTCCCCAGTTCACTACATCAACTTTAACCCCCTGCTCCTGGGCATGCACAGGTCTATAAAAGTCAACGTGAGTTCCCCTTAGCTGCAGAATCAAATATGAATTGAACAGATCTAATTTCACAGGTCATTTGGGGGAAATATTGTATGTTTATAAAAAAAGTTGTATAAAGCCTCCAGGGGGAGGTGTACAACATCTGATATAATTGAAGTGATGTGTGTTAGGCCGAAGGAAACATTTGGAATTGAAAAATATGGGGATGTTCAGTTACAATCAAGTGAGGTTACCAAACTGCTGAAGCCTGTTCTTTACGGATAGCATTGGCCAGTGGTATCACAAGAAAAAAACCTTTAACACGTTTGAATTCACAATTCTCTGTTTTTTTCTTATCTGTTCTTGCTTGACAGAGATGGGACAAAGAGAGTATGGAGTTGTGTGTGTTTATGATCAACAACCCAAACTCTGCCATGCTCGGTACCTGGGACTATTCTTCCTGCACAGAGTATCAAAATCTGGCGTTTTGTCAGCACTATGCAGGTAAACCCCCGCTTCAAACACTTACAGTAATGCTACTTTTGTAACCAAAAAGTCACAGTGGCACACTAAGGTCCCTCTTAAGATTTTCTTGATTGTCGTTTTATTAAGGGCAGTAAATAAAACATGGCTTAAACAACTTAAAGGGTGTTAAAGTGCCTACCATTGCATGTCATTCTCTTCATGTCCTGCCCTCCATTTTCTTTCATCAAAAAAAAAAGCTAAGATTTTGGAGCAACATATTTCACTGGCACAATTTACATGACATGATGAATTTTGAACACAAAGCTTACTCATTTCAGATAAAATGGAGGGGCCCCACGTCCCAACAGAGCCCTTCCACGTCAATAACCACACCTTCCTGCTGCTCGCACAAAATCTCACCTGGTTTGAGGCCTTAGAGCAGTGCGGGAAACACAAAATGGACCTGGCCAGTGTGGCCGACACCTTGTTGCAGGCCACCCTCACTGTGCATGTGAGCCGTGCACAAACACCCATGTGGATCGGCCTCTTCAGTGAAGACGTGAGTGTGCATACAAAGGGCTGCCGTAAATACAACAACCATTACAGCATTAGACTGAAATTGTACTTTTTTTGTATTTAGGATGGAATCCACTACCGCTGGACGGACCACAGCCACACCGTGTTCAGTCGCTGGTCCTCTGATGTCACCAGCGGCTCGTGTGTCTACCTCGACACCGATGGCTTCTGGAAAGCCACCGAGTGTGAGGAGATGCTAGGAGGTGCTATCTGCCACAAACCGCATGGTGAGAGAAAATCTGAAATGCCCTGTGTTTCTCACCATGGCAGCTAATTCCTTCTAGTGGTGGCGTACCAACATTTAGAGGTTATGCTGTAGCTTTGCCAGTTGTAGCTCTAGTTTTATGGCAAATTGTTTTATAACCCTGCTATGGAGTCCTCTGTGGTAACAGGATGCAAAGTCTGTTGGAAAGGAACATTTAAAACATAGAAAATAAAGCCATAGGCTTCCCTATTCGGTCTGATGGCGAAACAAAGCACAAGCAACATTTGGCCGTTATTGTGGAAAGAGTTGTGGAGTTTTAGAATAATAGAGGCTTTTAATATGAAACTATGGAACATCAAGGGGTTTTCTGTGAAAAAAAAAAAAGTAAGGATACTGATTTTATGTAGGAATTATCTTTCTTTTTTTTCAAATCCCTTTTTGTCACCATTGTTATATTTTGTATTTAATCTTTCTTAAGTTTGATAACATATGATGGTTAGTAGACTTCATAACTTCATAATTCTTCATAATAAATGTTCTTCTTCATGTACACCATTTTCTGTTTAGTCTTGTGGTTTCACAGGCTTCCTCTCCAGTTCAAATCTCTTCCTTCCCTTGTTGGCATGCATCATTATTCTTGCAAGTTCAATCATTTGAAACTATCTTAAACAAAATGTCAACTTATGTGTCACAGAAGAGATCATCACCACACCAGAGGATGTCGCTGTGAAGTGCCCCCATAAGATTAATGGTCCCAACTGGATCCCCTTCAAGAACAACTGCTACTCCTTCCAGCTGGTCGCCACCAGATGGGACCAGTTTAACCAGGGACAGATCGAGGAAACCTGCAAAAAACTTCGTAAGAATTTCAAACAACATCCGGCATGCGCTGTTATTTGGAGATCTGTTTGGAGAAATGTTTCTATAGCAGATGATGCGTTTATGTTCCAGATGCAGATGCAGACATCCTAACCATTCGAAATGCAGAGGAGAACGAGTTTATTAAGCAGCAACTCATACCCTTTAGAAACTTGGTCCAGTTTGTTTGGCTGGGGATGTTCAAAGATGAAAACGGTAGGTCATGTATGCACATTTGTCTTTTTTCTTTGTTGCTTTTAAGGCTGCAAAAAGTTTGTTACGTTACAGAAGAAGACGATTCTTCTCTAATACAGATCTCAAAACCTAAACCTAAGCTAGATGGTATCGGCTGACACCAGAGAGAGATCTTTTTTGTCTTTTGTATCAAATTTCTTGCGTGTGTTCACAAACTGAGACTGAAATCATCAGTACACTCACAGAGCTCGTTGACGTTGAAGTTCTGCTATAGCCTTCTGCTTGGTGGCTTTGTTGTAGTACCGATGCACAATACTTATATGAAATGTATCTTAGTGTAACTGAAGTGGCAATAATTGACAGATGGCAGGTTCGTTTTTCTTCATAAGGTTATGTTACAGGGTTTTGGTTGGCTTTTGAATAGGATTATTAGTCTCTCTTTTTTATTCATTATATCGACATTAATAGTGACTTTTCATTTGTGAGTATTTATGTCACATTGCAAGGGTTAATATTCATGTTTGGATACGCTCTAGATAACCAGATGAAATGGTATGATGGCACCACTGTCCAATATTCCAACTGGGCCAATGGCAGACCAGAAGTAGAAGGACCATTTCTGGCCGGCCTCATGGTCGACAGCTTCTGGATTCTCATCTCAAAGCAAAGATCATTCCCAGAGTTCAAACAGAGGAGCATTGTGACCTGCAAACTGGACAACGGTTGGTTTAAAACACTTCAAATCATGATCTTTATTTCTCTGTCCAACTCTGTCGTCATGACCTTTCATTTTTTGTAATCCTTCCCTCCCAAGAACCAAAACACGAGTACAACCAGTCATCCACGGACTTCCAACATTACGGTAACTTAACCTATCAGGTGCTGACCCTTAAGATGAGCTGGCACCAGGCTCTGGAGGAGTGTAGTGAGCGGGGGGGCCACCTGGCCAGTGTGCACGACCTCCAGCATAGCGCTCATGTGAAGCTCATCGCCAAGACAGACGGATTCCCCCTCTGGATCGGCCTATCGAACCAGGATGTAAGAACATTACTGAACCCAAATATTCTCATAGCTTACACTGAGTACATCCCAAGTGTATCTCATTTGGATTTATCTCACATGGTTTTGCGCAATAATTCATGGGATAACATAAGTGTCTCTTTCTCTTTCTCAGGTTAGTGGATCAACCTTTGAGTGGTCCGATGGAACGAGATTTGACTACAAAGCCATCATCTCTGACTCACTGGAGGCCCCCAGCTCAGACAAACAAGAGCCCAGCTGTGTTATGGTAACCCCTGCTGGGGCCTGGGTGAAGACCAGCTGCAGCACGGTGCAACAAGGAGCCATCTGCTACACCACCTCCATCACCACCACCTCCCAAAGTAAGACAGCAATAACTTTTACCACAAGAACCACATTCTTATGTAGGAAAAGGGAAGTGACTGAGATGGTCTTATTTGGCCAATCGGCAAGTCATTCTTACGACTTCAATATGTTCATGATCTTCTATTTGAAAGGTTTGTTTTGTTTGACTCTCCAAAGAAGTTTTTTTTGTTGGACTCTACAAAGAAGTTTTTTTTCTTTGATTCTACAAAGAGTTTTTTTTGCTCAAAGTTTAAACATCATGTTATCTGTTTACAATATTAGTGTGACATCAAAGAGCAATGAAAAGAGATCTATGTTATTTTGTCCACGACTTGTTGCTGCTCCCTAAAACTAATGAAATATGAATATACCTGACTAGTTATCAGGGTTAATGCTATTATTGATGTACAGCAGGTGAATGAATAAACCCTAACCCTTGCATAGTCATGATCAAAATGTTAACAAACTTCAAACTAAGTTTTCAGAGAAACTTTCACATGAATTTTCCCAGTTGAAACTCTTTTTCCGACACTACATGAATGCAGAATTTGTGTTGAATAGTTTAGTCTGCAGAAATCCTTCAGAGGAAAAAGCAATATTATGATATATTAAGGCTTTAAACATCTACTTGTTTGTGTTATAGTGGCATTGAGCGTTGTTGTTTCTGTGTTATGAATCAGGAGCCAGACAGCTGTTTCCCCCGGTGGCCAATCACTGCCCTCAGAGCAACGGCATGTCCATGTGGGTGCAGCACCAGGACCACTGCTACGCCTTCCACATGAGCTTCTACAACTTCAGCGTGTACAGCATGCAGCAGGCCCGGAGCATCTGCCAGAGCCTGGGTGAGACGTTGTTCTGTGTATGAAGGGTCGTAATCCGTATTCATCTGATCAACTGCAGTCCGCTTATTGATTTTAATTATTTTCACAGATGCTCAACTGCTGACCCTCAAAAGCAAAGAGGAGAAGGACTTTGTGTCGAAGCACGTGGTCGATGACCCCCTAATCACCAGCCGAGTGTGGCTCGACATGGAGCTCGATACTCAAGGTACACCCCAGCACTTTAAAGGGAATAAAGACAGTGACACATCAAATACAGTTTACAGGGCCATATCTCAATTCTGGTTATATGCTATTGCCTATCATTTAGGTCGAGCTGGCATTAAAAAAATCAGCATGTTGTGTTTTTGCTTTTTTGCATTGCTTACAAAAAATGGTCAACTGAGTATTAAGAAACCTGTTAATTAATGTGGGAGTGAAAGCTGATTCCAATCCACTTTCAAATTATAATGTTGTATTGATTTAAAGAATGTAAACATCATCATAATCTTAAAGTACGCTGCTCCAAGTGGCAAAAAAATCAATGATGTTGTTTCAATTGATCCGTGTGATATCCAATGAGTCTAGTCAGATATTTCTTCTCAACATCACATAGAAACACATTATTTGGGACATTTGCGGTGCTAGTCCTTCTCCCTTCACGTCCCACCATCTCCCTTATTCCTCTCAGGTCAGCCTCTGTCCTGGCAGGACGGCTCAGCTCTGGATTACTCCAACTGGAAGTCTGAGGCTTTGGTTAATGGGAAGAAGTCGGAGCCCCACTGTGCCGTCATGGTGACAGGAGATGAAGGAAAGTGGACCCGCGCCAGCTGCAACACGAGCTTCAGTCGGGTTGTCTGCAAAACTCAAACAAGTAGGTATTGCGATTTTGGGAAATGCACTTATTTTCTCTCTTGCTAAGAGAAAGAAAGATGCTGCTCTCATATGTGTATGGTAATTATAAATGTGTGTGAAAATATATCCCGAGGCGGCAGCTCGTTAGCTTAACTTGGCACAAAGAAACAAGAGGAAAGTTAGCCAGGAGGTTGCTGGTCCTGGCCAAGCAAAAGTGTGGCACATCAGCACACAAAAAATAGCACACTTTAATTTTTTTTCACACTTCAGTTTTTGTAAAGAATAAACTACAATATATTAAATGTTTTTTTATTGAGCTTTAGAGGTGGTGGTGGGCAGATAATGCTACCTTACCAGGCTAGCTGTTTTCCACTCTTTTCAGTCTCTGTGCTAAACTACCTGTCTGTTCACTGAAGCTTCAGAATTACTTTAATATGAAGCCGACCAAGTATATTTTTTACATAAGTTAATTGACAGGCTTTGTTTTTCATGTATTTTATACATAAAAATGTGTCCCCTAAATTCGGAAAGTTTCAGGAAAAAATATTCTCTCTTTTTGTCCTGATCCATCTACTCTACTGTATATAAAAACATGTCTGAGAGGAGCTGATCAGATTTTGCCACTTTGTGATTGTGTTTGGGGTTGTGAAACCATTAGCCAATAACCAACCAAGGTAACAACCGGCCGCCCTATCACCTAGCACTATTCACAGAGGGGCGTGGCCAGCAGCAGCAGCTCATTAGCATGTAAAGCTACAGATCCAGAATCAGCACTTTTGAAACAGAGGGGTTTATGGCATGCTACAATGCATGATCTGTTCGGTATTTTGAGCCAAACACTTCAGACATGTTTTGTATATAACTGAGACCTTTAATTTATTGTTGAAAAATAGTATAATAGGGGGCCTTTAAACTACTTACACTCACACAGCAAGTCTAAACTCAAATAAAAGCTGCATGACCTGAATCATGACGGCATTTTGTTCAGTGGAAACACAAAAACGTCTTGTTGAAAACTGATTGATGACTGATCAACTTCACTTTTGCGTGCTCAGAGTCCGGAGGCTCTCCTGTGGCGTTGGGTCTCTTCATCGTGGTCGTCATCGCTCTCCTTTTAGCCATCGGCTTCATCCTCTACAAGAAGAAAAGAGCCCACTTCTCTTCCACCGTCCGCTACAAGAGAACCTTTGATGAATCAGACAGCACCAGTATTATCACAGAAGCTGAATAAGTATCAGCCTCAGGGAGTGTTTATGTGCCTTGTGTGCATTTTAGTACTATTCAGCAAAAGCAGATGCAGCCTTTCCCTTTTTTAAGTTATTTATTTATCATGTTTAAGCCTGCAAACTTTCTCAAATGATGTCTAAAACTGTAAATATATTGTGAATATCTGCCAATTCAACTCTTTTCTGGGATACTTTAGATTGTATTGATGAAGAGTGAAGCGTTATGAACATACTGGGGCTGTGTTAAATTTTGATCATTGACATTAGTGCGATGTTTTTGTTTTTAAATTGTACAAAGATTAGGAGTTAAAATATGCAACCAGAAAAGACACTCCCATTCAGGCCCTATAACAGGGGTTACATTGCACTGATGTATAAGTGACTCCAAGCTATCAGTAACAGAACATGCTGTACTGTATATACCATTACTCAATCTATTCCAATGTGGCTTTAGTTAATTCATATAATAATAGACTAAAGGCCAATTCACCTAAAATTATGTTAGACCTGTTTTTCTTTCACTTGGAGTTGTATTTATATTTTCGTTTAAATACTCACAATACAGCCCAGATCTGAATCGTTTGAGAGCTGGTTTTCTACAAAGGTACGCCCCATACCGATCTATGAGCAAAAAGGAAGAAACTAAAGATTGTAAAATGTAAATGTGTGATTATGTTTGATAAGAAACTTGGCTTTTGAGTTTTCTATATTGTTTTACTAAGCTGCACTTCATTGGCCTGAGCAACATCTATCTTTTTCAAACCTCAGTAAATCAAGTTAAAACTATCTGGATTAAGAGCTTGCACTCTGGTCAAGAAACTATATTTGTTTTTTTATTGGATTGTGCCTTTTTAAATAAGTAAGAAAATGTATGATTGAAAATGTCACTCACTGTGCCTTTTTAACATCATAATTCAGAAGGGATGGGAGACATTAAGCCACTGGGTAGTGTTATTTTCTCTGTATTACCTGATTCAGTTGTCTTATAATACTTAACATTGTGTTTTTGTTGACAATACATAATGATTCAAGGGAAAGTTGTAGTGCTGCTGATCAGTTGTGTAAGTGTAGACACTGGCTTGCCTAAAAATGACTCGGACATGTTTGTATAAAGTTTGTGTTGATTTAGATCTGACTCCCCTATGCACTTACTACTGAGCAAGAACGCACTTTAATATGTTCCTACTATGTTTAAGCACAATGAGGTTAAGGGTTTTAGAGACATTTAAATTGCACTGGCGTTTGCTGTGAATGCTTTGTAAATACGTTTTATAACTGAGAATGAACCAAAGATTCTGAGTTCTTTGAATTTCAGAAGCCTGATCTTTCTTTTTATTGTGTGGAACTGCGTCAATACGGCTTGTTAGACCCTTCATATCAAGTTGTAAACCAAATGTAAGTGGGTTGTTTTTTTTGTTTTACTTATCACTCTTAAACAGGTCTATCAGCTCAATCAGGTACATTATCCTTCCAATAAAATTTCCTGTCACCAAATGTTTGTTTCTATTTCATTCATTATAATTAGTGTATGCAAAGATTTATTTTACTATGCGGTTGCTATTTATCCAATCCAAATTCAACCATCATGACAGGTACAAAAGTGATGGGAGTCACTGGGTAATAGTCCGGCAGCAAGTCCTCAAAAAAGGCTTTAGTTTTTCAGATACCCCTATCCGAGGTAGAACAAATGACAACAATGATTTTTCTTATCTTTAGGGTCTCCCATTAATGAAATTGATTGTTGTCAAATTTTATTTTGGGGGAAAAAAAGTTTTTTGGGTTGTTCTTTAGAACTACCCCAATCCCTGAAAAAGAGCCAAATTAGACCAGGCCGAATGTGGGAATGGTGACTAAAAAGCCCATAACTT